AGAAAAGCAACTGCGGCCACCACGTCATGTGACATGGTGACGTATATTTTTCTAAAGCTGGATGTAAAATCTGACAGTTCAACCTTTAGACAGGCTGCATGAGGACATTTAGATTAAAATGTAAAGGTGCCAGGGGAATGTCGTTAAATACGGTTCATAGATTATTTATTTATAATGCTTCTGTGTTTATCTTTAGTTAGATTATAGTTTTAGTTCAGTCCCTAGTTTAGATTGTGTCCCTGATTCACATGTTCACATGTTAAGGATCAAAATATCTGAACAGTGAAACAATCATGATCAAACATTAGACGATGAAACAACATATTTTTATATGTGACTTGCAAGGCCGTTGTGCTGAAAGGTGGTGGAGACATAAGGGCTCAGATTAGAGGAGTCTTAGCTCAGCAGACGTGATGATGCACAATCAGAAGCTTGTTTTGCATTTTTTTCTTCTATATTTAAAGTGCTTTGCATCTTATTGTGCAAATAAACCTTTTAAAAGCATTTTCATTTGTTATTTAACATTTCTTGTTGCTATTTTTCAGAACATTGTTAACAAATGCTTTGAAAAAGTGATGATGACTGCAGCCAGCAGACGGCGCTCTGCCTCTGCAGCTTTGTGTTTGCAGAGACAGAACCCAGAGGGAGAGGAGGGCAGCACAGACTGCAGATAGTATCTACATTCAGTTTAAACAAGGATGAATTCATGGGAGATTTTAGATTAAAGATGAGCAGTGTGGGCCCGCACAGAATTCTGGGTCATTTTCAACTCCACACAAAAGAGCAGCTAGCTGGTGAAATGACAGCAACCGGGAAATTAACTCGATATGAACGAACACAGAAGTGGGTTTCAGAAGCGAAAACTGAAAGAAGCAGCCGAGAAAGAAAAGATCCATATAACAAAATATTAATTTTCCTTAAAAAGACAGACGGGATGGCAGCAACACGAGCTGTTAGCAACAAGAGCCGAAGGGGGCAGCTGCTGCCATAGCAACAGCATCGCACCATCCACCTCAGTGATGATGAGGAGGAGTAACGTTACTTTCTAACTTCTACAGCCTGAAACACTGTGCACTGTGCACGTTTCTGAGCAAGCAGATGCCGTATTTACAAAAGTGACATGACCTGGACATTTCCCACGCAGCTCCTGTCCTTCCCAGGTGTTTCAGAGACCGCCTCTGAAAAGCTTTGGGGTAGTCTGCACTGTTCTTCTGCTTTTATTAACAATCCCAGTGAGTGTGGCCTCTGCTGAAAAATCCTTTTCCAAACTAGAACTTCTCAAATGTGAAGAGCTCACTGGGACAGACACGTTACTTTAAAAGTCAAACTTGTCCAGGTCCAAGTTAGTTTAATGAATGATGTCATTAGAAGTTGTTATTTACAGCTGGGAAATATTGAAAATCTGTGATATAATAATAATAATTCCAGGTCATATTGTCCCCACTGTTTTTTCATCATCACCATTTAAACTGCATTCTATTAAAATAGTATAAAAAATAAATTTTAACTTGTGTTGTAACGTTTTGTTTACTTGCCGCAGCCTGACAGGAAACAGCAGCTCTTAGATCTTACAGGAGAAAGAGGAAGGTGTAGTAAAGGTTAAATGACAGTTGGTCACAGTAATGCACCACCAAGCAGCTAGTAAATCAATTAATCAAATAAACTTCCACTTGTGGAAATGTTTTATGAGGAGGGAAAAGCATTCAACACATTTGTTAGACCACATACGTTCTGTCTACAGAGGGCACCTTCAAATAAAGTTTAAAGAAATTAAGACTCCCAGAAATCCTCTCTGCCTCCACGACCACACATAAAACATGCTCTAAAAACAATCACACTTAACAAAATCATAAAATTCAGCTTAATAACTGTCAAGATTTGTCTCGTTGACCATCATTAGCTTCAGCTTCAGCTTCATCTCCTCATAGCTTAACTAATTACATGTTGTTTATACTATTTCTTAGTCACCACTGGTTCAGTCAGCCAGCCCGTCCAGGGAGAAGTGCTTCCTGAAATACGCCTTGTGATTGGACAGTACTTCAGCAGACAGCCGAGCATCGGCCAAGATGGCCCTGCCTCCCGGCATTTTTTCAGATCCTCAGTTAATTTTCAGAGTTTCAAATCTTTTTTCCAACATAAGAGCACATAAGAGTTTTCTGACCACCATTTACAAGGTTTCAAACCTGTAAAACAAACTAATACACTATGAGATTCACCCTTTCAAAGGAAAGTTTCAACATTTTGAAACCTTATTGCCAACATATGTGTGTGATAGACTGATTGATTTTTGACATGTGCTAAATAGGCAATGAAATAATCATAGAAATATACACATGGAATAAAAGATAAACATATCTATCAGTCATGTGAAAGAGGTTATACGCAGAATATTAAAGCAAGATGGAAGAAGAGGGTGACTTCTTGTTTATTTTAAAAAATGTTTACGTTTGTGTTGGAGATTTTCACCTTTACGACAAATACATAGCGGCTCCAAATATCGGCCAACTTGACTACTAATAATCAGTATCAGCCTTGCAAAAATCCTATCAGTCTCCCTGGTCCTGACCTGAGAAAGACAACAAACACTCACAGTAACACTCTGCTTTTATTGGAACAAAATAATAACAAAATAATAAAAAACAGGTGTTTGCTCAGGTGAATCAGCGCTGCCTAGCAACCGCTTCTGATTGGTGGAAACCTCTCAAACGATAATTAAACAGGAAGCAGCAGAAGTTTGTTTTTATTGATCAATATTCCAGATACAAACAACCTGGCTTTGAGTTTCACTTTCTACAGAAAGGACCAACAGCCGGAACAAAGACAAACTAGGAATAAAGAAATGTGTGTTGTGTGATTCTGCTGCTAAACTAAAGACTTCACTGCTTTTTCATTTTCATGACATTAAAGGCTTTTTGTAAAAGAAAGAACTCAGGTTTCACTTTAAAAAACTTAAATTTGTGAATATAACATAGAATAACGGTCAGTAAAATAAAGAGTGCAGTGATTTTAGTAACAATTCACACAAAAGCAAATCAAGGGAAAGGTACAAAAGAAACAATATGAGGTAAAAGGCGGATCTGATACCTGCTGAGATTAGCTGGGAGGCTTCAGAACAGAAAACCTCAATGTCCCAGCAGACCAAACGTTCGTTCGCTCAATTAACTTAAATTGTCCGATTTCAAACAGATTTCCTCCTTAGAGGACAAACACAAAGGTACCAGGATGAAGCGTGGCCGACGCTGCAGGTCAGTAATATCCACAGTTAACAGGAGGTTCCAACATATAATCCACTTAATAGTGTCATGTTCCTGTGTCCTCTGGCCCCCCTGTGTTACAGAGGCCCCTAAAGTCTCACCTGTTCTGCTTTGCATATCACAGGGGTCCCCCAAACTTCACTTCCCCCTCCCCTTTTAAAACATGTCAATAATGCAAACAATAGTGAAAGAGATAATATAATATAATGATAAATGACAGTCCAAACTACAATCCATGGTTCTGTCTCAGGCCTCTGATTTAACAAACAGTTTTTTAACATGTGAAGGAACCAGGAGTTTTTAAAAGATCACTTACAGGCAGAAATAACTTCATACAGTGTTTTCTAATCTGGTAATGGATTAATTGTCTCTTGGAAAAAAAAAAAACAGGGTCCCTGATTAGAAATTTCTGAGAACAGTTTAAAGATTTAAAGTCCAGACGAAAGACCGAGCAGCTTTTAGAGATGAGAAACATAAAGATCACCACAGTCAGTAGGATTCATCTTCTGGGAACCATGAAGGTCTGAACCACATTTCATGACCTGGACCAAAGTGGTGGAGGGACCGGAGCCGACATCACCGTCCCTGGAGCCAAAGGAAAGACTGAGACAGTTCAAGGACCTCCAGGCCCTCAGTTCAGGATCATAGAGGACTTCAGTTCAGTCCTCATGAGGCACCATGAACTTTTTCAGTCCAGAGACAGAAGCAGGGGGTTATGGGACGAAGAACCACCAGCTGATGAACGGTACATATTTAACAAGTAATTCAACTATCATGTTAAAACTGTAAACTGATGAACATGTGAGCGATGTTATCAGGTAGCTGGTTACGATAAACAACACCTGAAAGTCTTCTTCATGGATTACATTTATACAGCCATTTATCTCAGATACTCCTCTCAGCCTCCACCAATGTGCAGCACCCACCTGGGGCCTCCACGCTGACGAGCGGGTCACCAGAGTTCAAACCGCTTGTCTTTCTTAAAGGGTGTTCGATCCACAATGTTGTTGCTGAAGAGTCTAGAAAAACACCAGAGCAGAGAGCAAACGTTACTCATTCAGCCACAATAACATGAGGAACAGGAGGAATTGAACTCGTCTGAGATCATGAAGGATTTCTCTGTGAGCACAAATGTCTTCATAAATGAACGGAGCACTAATTAATGTTTGCTCACCGCACAGTGCCGATGGAGGGGTTGATGGAGACCAGGTGGAGTAACTTTCCAGCTGAAGCATCAGAGATCTTATTGTGACTCAGACTGTAACATGCACACAAACACAAACAGAGACACGGCGCTACATTTATTACTGCCGAGGACAGAGCCCACACAGCGCTGTACGCATTTTAGTCACATGATCACATGTGTGTGTACAGGGGGACACTCACTCCAGGACCTGGACTTTGTGCAGATGTGTGATGAGTGTGAGCAGCAGCTGGTCGGTGAGCTCACAGTGACTGAGGTCCAGCTCGGTCAGCCCTTCAGAGAAGTCCAGCATCAGGGCCAAAGCTCCACAGGCCCTCTGATCCAGTGAGGTGTGACTGAGGTCCAGCTCTCCGTCCAGGGCTCTACACAGGGACACCGCCCGTCTCACTGTGTCCCCCTCACTGTTCACAGGAACCAGGGACACCAGCTGGAGGAGGACGGCTTTACTGGCTCTAAACAGCAAAGAACAGACTGTTACGATGCATCAACATGAGAACAAGCTCCTTCTCTGGTTTAGGTCACGCTGTGGTCTTTCCCACCTGAGGCGGACTCTGCGGAGGACAGGAAACAGCAGGTCCAGTCCGCTGTCCTCCACCTCGCAGTCCTGCAGGTTGAGCTGTGTGTCCCGGACGCTGCGTCTCAGGATGGCGGAGACGGCCCCGCAGTCCTCACCGGTCAGACTGAGAGTCTCGCTCTGATCCTCCTCTGGCAGCTCCACACAGGAGGAGCAGGACAGATCCAGCCTGTGCTGCACAGTCCTGAGCAGGCCGACTGCTGCCCCTGCTGGGCGTCAGAGGCAGCACAGCAGTGCACCAGCCTCAGCAGCAGGTTCCTGTCCACACTGGAGGGAACATGGATTCAAAAATACATCAATATAAACAATCTGACCATAAACACCAAAATAATATTAAAGGATTATTAAAGATAAGCTGAAGATTTGGAACCAGTTTGTAAAGAATCAGAATGATCTTTTAATGTCATATATTTTCTAAGGTGCTCCAGGTAAAGGTGCATTATCTCCTGTGTGTTGGAGAGGACTGATCCAGGCACAGCTCTGAGAAACGAATGTCTGACCTGAGCTGAGAAACTTTGTCCAGCGTAAAGAGGATGGACTCTGTGTCCCCTGTTGGTATGGAGGTCCACTGGAGGTTCAGTTTAACTCTGTCACTGTGTTTGAGGGTGAAGAGCAGAGCAGCACAGTCCACAGAGTCCATCTCTCTGCAGGTCAGGTTGATCACATGATCCAGTGACCTCAGTAAACTGGGTATAATGGGACTGGCACGAGCTTTATAGATCTCTCTGATGGCAGTCAACACAAAGCCGGGACTGGGCCTGAAAGCAGAAAGTGTGTTCACCAGGACACTTTGTTCAGTCAAAGAATGAACAAACTGCTGTAAAACATGAGCCACAACAACACAAGAGATTGAACAGGATCAGCTGGACGTCTGTTTCTGGTAAAAACAAACAAAGTGATCACCTTTTAAATACAATCCTGTCCAGAAAGGGAAGCAGACGTGTGACGCTCTCCTGTAAGAAGAGGTTCTTCCTCAGGTTCACAGCGATGGTCTGAGCTGACGACTGCAGCAGATAGTGAAGAAGCTCCCAGTTCAGACAGCAGGAGCTCAGGTCTCCACCAACCTTACTCAAGAAGGACCGGGTCAAGACCTCGTCCTGGACTTCATGGAGGAGGGAGAGGAGCTGCTGGAAAATCTCCTGACTCAGTCTGCAGATAAAAAGTGAAGTATTAATACATTTAGCATGTTCATTGATTAGTACGTGTTGATGAGGCTCAGGAAAGACGTTTACTTGATGGTTAGAGGACCGTCGTGCAGCAGCAGAGGAATGAGACCCCGAGCAGGGACGCAGAACTCAGTCAGGTCCAACCGTCTGACTGCCCAGGATCTCAGCAGGGACGCCAAACTACTGACGACCTTCAACAGCACTCTGTCTGATGGTCGGGCTTTCTGAGGGGCCAGAGAAAGCTCTTCAACAGCCAACGGACAGGCCGCTCTCCCTCTTCTCACCCATCGACACAGTAGCAAGGCCATGTCGCTGGAAAGCCTGGAAAACAAAGAGAGAGCAGCTGTGATGTAAAAGACGTTCAGCACTAACTGGACATCCAAACTGGAGGAGATGGTGTTAAAGAGCAAAGGTAATGATATAAATGTGAACCTCAGACTGTGGAGTTGTGTTGTACAGCTGAAGAGGAGGGAGGCTCCTCTGACAGACATCTTTCTGGGTGTGAGGACCAGATCCACATCAGAGCCACAGAGTCTGAGAACCCTCCCCACAGACCTGCAGGTTTTCCTGTGTAACTCTCCTGTTAACAGCAGGGTGAAGCCCAGGAGCTGCAGCACAGAGGCCAACTGCTCTGCCTCTCTGGATCTTACAGAGATGACTGCACACAGACTCTGGAAGAACTCTGGATCACAGCTAAAACACAAAGTGATGCATGAAGAGTGAAAACAGCAAAGGTAAAGTACAGCACATACTGAGTTACAAACAGGTCCTGACATTAACAACCGCCAAATGCGGGTGGATTTCGGCTGTGGCGGGTAACACAGTCACTCCCACTAGCCACTTCGGCCTGTTGAACAATTGTAGTCTTGTCAAAAGGCATAAATAACAAACGAATTGCAATGTGACACTATAACACTACAACTCCTATGAGTACTACCCGCACATATTGGTCCATTAGTTAAACATTTGTCTTGCGCGCTACTGACGAACGACACTGTAAACAAGAAGACTTTGTGGAGATTAAACACGCGGACTGGCCGTCGGAACAAGGGCTGTTTTGGCCCGCCGTTAATTATCCACTAAACCAGCGGCAGCCATGACAAAAAGCAGGTGAATCCACACATCAGGCGCGTCTCACTCTCTCACCTCTCCTGCGAGCGCGCACGTCAAATAGCCTATGGCATCCAGACTTTTGTCAAAGAGAATATAAAAGTTGAATCTGTCACAGGACAGCCACAGTCCCTCAGACCTGTAGACCGTCAGCCTCCTGATCACTTTTAACTTGATGATATGATCTCTGTCATCACGCGCTACTGGTCGCATGCACACACACATCAACACAGCATTCAGTCAGTGCTGAGTGTGCGTGGCCGAGCGGTGTGGAGAAGAAATGCACAGGTGAACGAAGGAAAGAGAAAAGGCAGAGCAGAGGCGGAGAAAGAAGGAAAGCCATTAAATGCTGTCAAATATAGATCTCTTCATGATTAAGGAAAATGCTGGTGTTTATAAAAGAAAACAACAGACTACTAGCAGGGCTGCTCTTCATTTCGACATATCACAACTACATTTCCAGAGATGATTCCATGTTTTAATAAAATGTTTTCATGCCATGTATGAAAGCAGAAGATGCGTTTGTAAGAGGAATAATCTGGAAAACAAAGACTTGTTTACTCAATTCATATCTCCAGGTACTCAGAGCTACTGCAGAGCTTCATGATGATAAACATAAATCCAGTCAGAGCTCTGAGGAAATGCAGATGCAAAACAAACACTCCAAAAAGGCACAAAAATGATATAGGCCTATAGATGAAATTTTAATCCTATTGCCTTAATTGTGTGTGATTTTTTCATCTTTGCTCTTTGTTTCTAATGCAGATAATTTTTCTACTCTGTATTACAGTATTTAGCCTGCTGCTTTTATAAATAAATAGGATTTAAACAATGTTTCTGGTGAATATAGTTTTCAGTTTAGTTTTTATCTTTTCAGTTTATATTTTACACCCACGCAGCACTTTTATTATATACAAGAAAAAGCTGCTCTTATTGTGTTTATCTTAATAGACTATATGTTTTCAAAAAGGATTTTTACACACAACCTTATCAGAGCTAATGATAATATTAGTACATTTTAGCACGCCAATTTAAGCACTTTAATCATGAAAAATTTAATTTCCCAACAACACAAATGTGGCTAGTGAAAATGCTGCATGGCTAGTAACTTTGGAACCACCAGCCGCATTGGCTGTTGAGCAAAGAAAGTCAAGCCCTGGTTACAAACCATCTAATATACAAAGTCTTTCAATCAAAGGATGAAATTCAGAGAAAACACATACAGTAGGATGGAATACTCTAATTGTATATGTTTGTTTAGCTGTGATAATATGTACTGCTAAATAATTACTAAACAGAGAAATGGCATTCAACCTTATCTACATTATGTTTATTTGTATATGACCGTAGATTAGGAAAAAATTGACATATTTCTACAACTTACCTGAGCTGTGAGATATAAGGCAGACACTGTAGGAAACTCCTCACTTCACTCTCTTCATCTGAGCAGCCTGTCAGCTCCACTGGTTTCTTCTCTGGTTGGAGTTTCAGCACTTCCAGGAGGATGGAGGTCTTTCTCTCTGAGAGGTTTATGGACCAGACTGCAGGAGCTGACTGGAAAACTGACTGTAATGATGGAAGGACCCTCAAGCCTGTTTTAGTCTCATAGTCCTTCAGGTGGGAGCACAGATCCAGAAGGAAACCACTCTGATAACCCTTGAAATCATCATCATCGTCATCATCCAAGTATTCTTCTTTAAAAGGGAATGATTGATATCTGCACACTGATGATAACAGCTCCAGTATCTTCTCTCCTGTCTGTTGTTCTCTCTCTGCTGCTGCACAGAACAGATTCCCAAAAACCTTGACTCCACCTGATTCTTCAAACCCGTCATAGAAACTGGAACGAGAATTTAACATTTTGTTATGATCTGATATAAACAGCAGAAAAAGAGCCATGCAGTAATAATATGGAGTTTAGCTGCTAAAAGCCTACAAATACCTGCTGATGAGCAGAATACAGTAAAATCAATCAACCTAGAACTCGAAAACAATTATTTTAACAGGGTGTATTTGGATTTTAGAAGAGTTTTTAAAAAAAATTATTGACAAAATGTTGAATGAAGCAGGAAAGTCAGGCTACAAAGGTGTATCCTCTCCTCTGTATTACAGATTGTATGTTATACTGGAATACCACTCCTGAACCAACAGGGTGGCTGAAAGGAAAACTTTACCCAAAACATTTATTAATCAATCAGCTCCAAAGCTGAGATACTGGACCACAAGTTTTAACACCCATCATTCTGTAAAACATTATTATTAAAATGATTAAGAGCTCAAAATGTGAACTACTTTCAGAAATGTGGTTCATTAATATCAGTGTGTTCGTCGTAGTGACTACTGATGAGCAGAATACAGTAAAAAAATCAATCAACCTAAAACTGAAGTAACAATGATTTTAACAGAGATATATGTGGATTTTAGAAGAGTTTTACTAAATTAAATTTACAAAATGTTGAAGGAAGCAGGAATGTCAGGCTCAACCTGTTCTCACTCTGAAGTCCTCACATATGGACACATGGTCAAGATCCCTTGGTGTGTTATAAAGCAATTGGAAGCCTTTCAGAAACATTGTTGATGAAAGTAGGTGTAGGATAAATAACAGAAAAGTTTAGGTAAGCTTGGGGTGGATAGATGGATTAGACACCTAAACCTTTATTCTTTTAAAATAACTGGAGTAACGTAGTTGTTTTCACCCAGACCACGATCCTTTACTAAACCTAATTAGTGTTTTGTTGCCTAATCTTTCTATGACTCTGTGGTGTATCTGCAGTTTTTATGCAGTAGTTTCTGTTGGAGAGCCAGAAGCACAGAGAGGGACAGAAAAAGACTCAATAAACTGGTTCAGAGGACTAGTTCTGTCCTGTTCTGGGCCCAGACACCACAGAGGAGAGGGTGAGAGAAGCATGTTAGTCAGACGACACCTCTCACCCCTGCAGGAGACTGTGAGGTCTCTGAGCAGCTCCTTCAGCATCAGACTGCTGCAAACATTAAAAGAAGGAGCAGCTCCTTCATCCCAGCAGCTGTCACACTCTCCAACACAGCAATGACTAAATGTTTGTGTCTCTGGCACATCAGCCAACACTTTATAGCAATATATTTATTTGTAGTGTACCAGCCAGTGTGGGTTTG